TATCCTAAATTTGACGGATTAAAAACATATTTAAGCCAAAACAATATTATAGCCCCGTAAAATCTTAACATATATATATATATATATATATATATATATATTTAAAATCAATTTTACACATAGTGAAAATCAAATTACCATATTCAAACAAAGAGTTTAAAGTTTAAGAAATTTGAATTGATTTATCCAAACAAAATATTTAAAGAATGATAAAAATTAAAATTTCAGTAATTCAAATTCCAAAAATTTTAAATTCTTTGAATTTTTAAATTTTCTCATCCAAACACATTGTTAAACTTGCCAAAAAAAAATTATTGAGCAGTTCAAAGAAGATAGTATGACCAAGGTAATCAGGGATCAAAGGGTTTTTATTGAAGAAACATAGAACAATTGTGAAGGGATAACACATGACCTTTATAATGCTTTGTGAAGTGGAGGGCTTTGTTACACAATATGGGTGCAAAGATGAACATAGATCTCAAAAACTTACTAATCAAAGGGCAGTAACTTGAAACCTCAACAGGATAAGAAATTTCTAACCACCCGAAACTATGATACACTATTCTAAAAATATTGGTGTCCTCTTCTTTTATGCTTTTGATTTAGGAAGAAAGCGACTCAATCCATTTCCAATCTTGATGACAAAGATAAAATACTAACAACTTGATTTCAAAAGCTTAAATTATATGCTTAAGATTAATTAGAAAGATCTTGTTACATCTCGATTGTGCAACAAAATTTTCGATATATATGTCTCTATATTAGATCTAAGTTCTCATACTTCATTTTTGATCATCAATTATCATCCAAAAAAAACCTCATATCATTAATGCATCTACATTTACATGTAAGTAAAATATTAACAGAGACATCCACATGCTTATAAACCCATGTTTCTATTTTCTACATGAAAATTCGTTAAGAAATGCTGATAATGCATTCACCTCTGTAATTGTGTAAGCTTTGCTTCCAGTGTCCTTAATAATTTGGTATCTAGTCTGGTTTAAAATTCAAACTAAATGGGTATCTAATTTCTGACCACACTCTATTAACATGATGTAATATAATAGAGAAGATTTGGTAATTGTGCCTTATGCCTTTGTACCTAGTACTTCATGATTTAGATGAATGTTTTCATGCCTAAATTGGTCTGAATTAATGTAAGTGACCACTTCCATTGCAAGCACACTCATTTATGGAATGTACCAAACTGGTTGACTCTTAATAGTGCTTAAAATTAAGTTGAATTTTTCATTTAGATATATATTTTTCCCCTTCAATTAAAAAAATAATTGTTTATAAGAACCTGCATAGTGGATAATTTAAGGCACAATTCCACTTTTAATTGTTGATGTTTGACCAAAACTTTCAATCGTTTTCGTATTTCCTATTCTTATTTACAAAAGGCACCTTTTTCTGTTTAAATACCATCACTAAGCTTGACATAATTTATACTATTAATCATGGATGTTGATATGGAACCAACATAGCTAATTATGTATCCAACTTGAGAATAAATGAAAACTTTAATGTGCATTCTTTATGCAAAAGTTATAGCTTCTACGCGCATTCAAAAATTCATTGGATTGAATATTCCGTATTAATAGCTACCAAATAGGAGAATTTCTTATTTGTTACTATTATTAATCACAAAAACGATAAGTTATGCGCGTCCATTCGCTAAGGTCACTGCGCCGGCTAGTATTTTGGACAAACTCAAATGCTTTTTTTATTATTTTTTTTAAAGTATTTTGTAATTGTGATACTATTTTTAGTTAAAAACAATTTTTATTCATTTATTTATAATAAAATAATTTTTGGCTCACCGGATAAAACATTTTTTTTTCCTTTGTTATGCTTCTCAACTAAAAAAAAACACATATCCAAGTCTAACTTTTTAGCTTTAGGCATGATTACTTCAGCAAGCAGTTACTTTCTTCTTTTCATTTGTTTGACAATTTAGTAAAAAAATTAATTTTTATTTTACAATATCAATAAAATATTAATGTGTTTATACTTTTTTTTTTTGTTCGTCCATGGAGTATCCACCACCGATAACAGTGACTAATCTCCTCGCTACGTTAGAGGCACCTCAAAGGGTGGGATAACGCGACTGCATACACAAGGCAGGATTCGAACCCCTGACCTTGCTTAAGCGTGGATCAACCCCTACCGCTGAACTACACGCTTGGGGTTATGTGTTTATACTTTGTTCCAATACTCTATTTATAAATAAAATAAAAAATAAAAATAAAACAGTTATGATTCTGAAAGTAGATGCCAGAGTCTGGTACTACAGCACCGGTTGGGTTTGGTATAGTACCTCAAGATAAAGTCATAAAGACAATACGGCCACTACAACAGTGTCAGTGGATATAAGTTGAACGGGGTTGAAAAATGAGAAAAGTGGAGTTATCCCTCACAATTTGGTTTTTGTGAAACCCAATTTGATGTTGAAACTTCAAACCCCAATTCACATGTTCAAGCTCAACCACAAGTGTTTGTGTGATTAAATATTTGATCAAATTAATTTTAAATTATTAAATGTGATTGAATTGTATATTCAAATTAATCTTGATCACATCTTCACATTAAAATGTGCATTTTTCATAAGAATGTACGTGTGAATATTAATTTTCTAACTTCAAAATAATTAAGGGTCAACCATGTTTTAAAATGCTCCAAATAAACCAAGTGCATAAAGCCAAAGTAAAAGAAACAAAACTTTTCCTTCTGATAAACGGTCGAAAGCCAAAATTGAATTTTTCTTTCCTCCTTTGCAGTGATTTGTATCTCAACCAAACACTGTATGTGTGAAAGTTCTCAATGAAACAGAAATAAACAACTAAAGCCAAAGTGTAAGGTACATCATCTAATTCTGTAGCATCGTTCAGGATCAACCACATCTTTAAAATAACATTATTGCGTAAACATTGTGAATAAATAAGAGGAAGACATTTGAGAATTACTATACTAAGGTATGTTACAATTAAAAGAGGCAAGATTTTTTAGTGCACCAGCTAGGAACCCTGTTAAACGTATAAGAACATTCTGTATCAAAACTAGACAACAAATAAACTGCAGTGGCACCAGACACAGCATCACCAAGTGGGAAGAAACTTTGATCATTTAGATACCAAAATTGCAGGCCTGAAAGAAATCTAATTCATAGTCAACATACTTTGTCCATAGTGGCTTGAATTGAGTCATTGCAATGTCAAGCCATGGTTTCATGTTGCCATTGAAGTGCACCACTGCTGCATTGTTAATCTCATCCATGCTGATGCTTGGGTTATAGCCAAGTCCCAGAACATGCCATGACTTATCCAGTGGCTTTGTTGTTGAGTAATATGTGATTAGACCCGGTGGCAATGTCCCCAATTTCCATAATGTCCGGTTCTCATTCTGCAGCAACATGAGCATGTCGCGTTAAACATGATATTGGATTCATGATTAGGGTTTGTTTAAATAAATTTCTTATGAAGCACTTCTGAGAGAAAAAAAAAATGAAACAAGCTTCTTCATATGCTAAAATTAGTTTATGCACAAGCTAATTTATAATTTTTAGAGAAGTTATATGAGAGAGCTTCTACAAATTAACTAACCGATGAGAATGAGACTATAACAATTATTAACAAACATGGACTACTGTTTCTATTCTAGTTTCTGAATATGCAGCCTCTCTTAGATGTTTGAAAATAACAAAGAACAAAGAACTAAAAAAAAAATGAAACAAGCTTCTTCATATGCTAAAATTAGTTACAGTACTAGATGTTTGAAAATGCAAAATAACAAAGAACTAAAAATTTGTGGTAAAATAATAATTAATAAGATAATAAGCACAGAGTCTTACCAGATTCTGCCAGTAATGATATTCTTCTGTGCATTTTTCCCTTCTCCAAGCATCCAAATCAAAGAAATTCATTCCATAAGCCCATGCACAAGCTTTTGGATTAAATTTTGCTTTAATCAAGGGGTGCGAGAAATTCATGTACTGTGCATATCTATGGAATGACCCAAAACAGGTTTCTACAGCTCCATTCACCTTGCCATCCATATCAATCTTCCATAACCCAGTAAGGTCCTTCTGAACCACTATGTCATCATCCAAAAACAAAATTTTGTGCAGCTTTGGATACATTTCTGGCAGGTAGAATCTCAAATGGTTCAATATTGACAAATATTTAGGATTCCTAAACTTCATATTAGTTGTGTCCTTTGTAGCATTCTCAAGCTTGTTCTCAAAGTAAAACCTCTGCAAGTTAGCGGACTCCAATTGCCTTAGGACCGGTACATAAGAAGAATTCAGGAACTTGTAATCCTCCACTGCCTTAACCTCAATGTGTGCACCATTATAATCCTTCAACTTAAACATCACTTGCATTGCTCCAAGATTCATCTTATCAGTCACAACATGAAACACATGCTTCCATGGCTCCTTTGCATTCTTCGTCGCCGAATTGACCACAACCGATGCTGCAACAACGTTATCAGAGAACAAGGCGTAGTGGTACAGGCTAGGATCTTCAACTGCTGGAGGGGTAGGCTTCCCCTCACTTGAATACTTATCAGGGTTGGCAATCCTCTCTTCCATCAATCTCATGGAGAGGCAATGCAAGCTCTTTGGAATTGACTTGGCAGCAATGAGGCTTGAGAAAGCACCCTGCTTCTTGGCCTTGGTTAACTGCTCATTCACTGCAAAAATTGTATCCTTCAACTTCTGAATCTTGAGCTGGTTATCAAAGGATTCCTTGGCTTCGCCGATCACTTGCCGCGTGGTCTTAATGCGCTCCTTCACTTCCTTCTCCAATTGGCGAAGCACAGATTCATCAACAGGGGATGCATCACTGCTGAAGAGAGTCCTATATTGAGGCTTGCTCATTAGATCTGAGAAGTTGCGTGATAGCTCTGCAAAAATCCTAACAAGCTTTGAGCTCTCAAGCTTGAGCTTGCGAGCATAGGAAGCATACACAAGAGCCAAAGAGCGATGATCATCAGCTTGCTTTCGAATCTGGTCCAAGCGAGGCTTAAGAGGATCCGTTTTTAGAGCAAGAATGGATCTCCTGATTGACTCAAACCCGTGTGCAACACCACCATCAGAATCCTAGTCACCACCATAGCAACAAGTTAGTAACTTTTTCCCTTTCTAGTAGTGACACTTCAATTGAAAAATTTCCACAATACCAAGAACAAATCGAATCAAAACATAACAAAAACAAACCCTGTTTGTTTCCCAACAAAATTTGCTCACATCAAGCCTAGTTCAAAAGCACAACAACATCAATCTTTTTCCTTTTTATCAGACAAGAAAGCAATTTAAAGAAAACAACAACTTTCTTTTCCTCTCTCTAGTAGTAGACATTTCCATCGAAATTTTCCCAGACTACAATAAGCAAGTTAAAACAAATCAAACCCTGCTTGTTTCCCAAGATAATTAGAACACATCAAGCCTAGTTCAAAAGCACCACAATAGAAATTTACCACTTTCCCATAATAGAAAACACAAACTTCTGTTTTTTCATTTCTAGTAACATTGCCATGAAATTTAGCACTACAAAGCCGTCACAGGATCCGTAGAGAATCGGATCCTGACCCATTTGCACCCTCACAGTAAGATCCAAAACTAACCCCACCCCACCAATTTTTTCTTCAAATTAAGCTAACCCAAAAAACAACAAAGTCAAAAATCAAGAGAAAAGGGGTTGAAAAAAATCCAACAAAGTAAAAATATAAACTTTACCGTGTAGTGGTGTTGGTGGGAGGAATAAGAGTGGGTAGTGAAGAGAAAAGAGAAAACGAAGAAAGTGCAGAGGATGATGGAGATAGCAGAAGCTAAGAGTGTGAAAGTTGGGATCCTTAAACGTGAAGCTCGAGAATTCACCATTTTGGTGTCAGAATCAGAGAGAGAAAGTGGTGAATGATTGATTCAGATTTTAGAAGACGCAGCACTCACTCTCATTAAACTCGACTCTCAAAATCATGCACTCAGATCTCAGATTTTCTCCTTCACTCTCTTCTTCGCAGAGAGAGACAGAAAACAAGACACGCATATTCGATATTTTATACGTAGTTGAGTTTAGCTTTAAGTTTTAGTATTAATTTATTAGTGTTGTTTGAAAATTTAAAAAGAAAAAAGAAAAAAAAGTCAAGCACTTACTATATTTTTCTCTCTCAGAAGTTAAGCATTTTTTACTTATTAATGGGTTGTTATATTTCACAAATTTTAAATAGCTAGTGTAAAAGAATCGTGATTAAAAATAATGGATTTAAAATTGTTAATCAATTAAATTTTTTATTTATTTATGATTTTAAGATAATTATTTTAAAAATTAATAAACATATTTTATATAATGGTTTTTATTAAACGATAGGGTAAATAAAATTTATTTAAAATGTCATATTACTTATTCATAAATAATTAAAGGTAGGTTTGTTTTGGTTCTATTATTTTAAAAACTAAGATGTGTTAAAATTTAATCGTTTATTTTTTTTTTAAAGGAAATGAATTTTTTTTTATGTGATTCAGGATATGTGAAGGAAAGAACTAAAAACTATATATGGCCTATAAATGATTGAATCAAGTTTGTTAGGTCTTGTATCATTTCTATTTATTTGTTTCTTTTAATCTTCAATCACCTTTATTAAGTAAAAAATTTAATAAAAATAACATGTCAATTATTTTATGATTTAATTATGAAAACTTGTAAGCTGGTTATAATTAATATACATACTATTTCAATATTTTTAAACATTATTCATTTCAATTTATCTTAAACTACTTTCATCTTATGCCTATTGATGTTTATACTAAAGAATTCTCCGCTTCTCTTAAATTACTCAATGTTTTTATGTTATTCACATTGATTTGTGTTCTATCTTGTTAGCAATGTTTACTAATAAAAAATATACAATTAAATTTTTCATGTTTATAAAAATAATTAAAACTATACAAGACGTTTTCTTATGAGAATAGAAATTAAAAAAAATAATAATAAAGAATTTGACTCAATTGGTATAATTTTTTAATTCCTCGATTAACTTTACTAAAAATCTTAAATTGATCTGCATAATATAACGTAATTAAAAATAACTAAATAAATTAAAAAAAAATGCTCACCGACTAATAATTTCTATTTTCAAATTATATATTCTGCCGACATTACAGTGGACTTCAACCTGTTACCTGTGGTCTCTAGTAGTTTCGGCTTCACTTTTCCACCCTTACTTCCTTGGTTTCAATCCCGCGTTACCGTGATCTCCGGTTGCCCGTCACCTCCCAAATGTTATCTTCGTTTTCTTTTTTTGAACTGTTATATTCCTTTTTTGAAGATGTTGATGTGTGTGTTTTTATTTGATAAGTGCTTTAGAAGATAAAATATAAAGTGATAATTATTAATCAAAACAAATAATTCGTAAGTGTTATAAAAAAAAAGTAAAATAGAGAGAACAAAGAAGATAATATGAGATGGAAAATAGAATCTGATTTGTGTATTATCTTTGGAAGAGAACTATCCTATTTATAAGTACATGTGGTAACAGAACAATTACACAATAAAGGGAATAATACATAACGGAAATATAAATGATAATGATTGATAATGAATATTAGCATCTACTAATTAAGCCACTAATTATTATTCATAACACTCTCTCTTGGATGTCCAATATTTAGACTGTGCCTCATTAAAACCTTACTAGGAAAAACCCTTTGGGATAAAAACCTAGTGAAGGAAAAAGAGTACATCATTCATAAATATTTATTTTTCCCCCTCATGCATACAATCTTTAAGACGACGAAGTCCAATCTTGTATATCAATTGTTCAAAAACTTTTCTTGGAAGTGACTTTGTAAAGAGATCTGTTAGGTTGTGACTTGAGCGGACTTGCTGAACATTTATATCACCATTCCTTTGAAGATTAATTATGAGTAAAAAAGAATTTCGGTAGAATATGCTTTGTTCTATCTCCCTTTATGTATTCATATTTCAATTGTGCAATACATGTAACATTATCTTCATATATAACTGCCGATGTCATTTTTCCATAATATAAACCACAAGTTTCCCATATGTGTTGAATCACAAATCTTAGCCAAACATATTCACGACTTGCCTCATGTAATGCTAAAATTTCAGCATGATTAGATGAAGTGGCTGATATGGTTTGTTTTACAGATCGCTATGAAATGACTGTACCACCACTTGTGAACAAATATCCTGTTTATGATTTACCATTATAAGGATCTGACAAATAACCTGCATCTGCATAACCATTTAGTTATGGTTTGGGAACATTTGAATATAATAACCCCATATCCATTGTACCTCTAAGATAACGAAAGATTTGTTTAACTCCATTCCAATGTCTTCGTGTAGGTGAAGAACTATATCTTGCTAATAAATTAATAGCAAATGTTATATCAGGTCGTGTATAATTAGCAAGGTACATTAGTGCTCCTATAGCACTAAGATATGGTACTTCGGGACCAAGTATTTCTTCATCCTTTTCTTGGGGTCTAAATGGATCTTTGTTAACATCTAAAGATCTTACAATCATGGGAGTGCACAATGGATGTGATTTGTCCATATAAAACCTTTTAAGCACCTTTGTTATATAAGCTTCTTGATGCACAAGAATTCCATTTTCTAAGTATTCAACTTGCAGTCCTAGACAAAACTTTATCCTTCCTAGATTCTTCATTTCAAATTCTTTCTTTAAGCAATCTATTGCTTTCTTCAGGAGTTCCAATGATGTTTATGTCATCTACATAAACTACAATTATGGCAAATTAATTTCCAGATCTTTTTATAAATATACACAAACAAATTGAATTATTTTTATACCCTTCTTATAACAAATATTCACTAAGTCAATTATACCACATGCAACCTGATTGCTTTAGCCTATATTTATTCAACTTGATCGAATAATCTTCTCTAAAAATTGCATCGTTAGGCAAATTAAATTCTTCTAGGAGTTTCATATAAATGTCAACATCAAGAGAGCCATATAAATATGTTGTAACTACATCCATTAGGTGTAAATTAAGTTTTTCATATACAACCAAATTAATTAAAAATTGAAAAGTATTTGCATCCACTACAGGTGAATATGTCTCTTCAAAATCAATACCGGGTCTTTGTGAAAAAACTTGAGCAACTAGTCTTGCTTTGTATCTCACAATTTCACCATTTTCATTTCGTTTTTGCACAAAAACCCATTTGTATCCAATTGGTTTTACACCTTTTGGTGTATGCAGTATTGGTCCAAAAACTTTTTCGCTTAGCAAGCGAGTGTAATTCTGCCTCAATTGCATCTTTCTATTTTGATCAATCATTTCTTTGTCGACAATCGTTGATAGACTTTGGTACTTGATCCTCAATATCATTTATTACATTTAGCGCTATATTATATGCAAACACGTAATCAATATTGACATTGTTTTGATTCCATCGTATTCCATTCATGACATAATTTATTTAGATCTCTTCATTTTCAATAATTTCAAGTACCTGAGTTTCTTCTGGAATTGAAAAATTAGTTATGTTAGAGGAATCTTTTTGAGTTTTTACATCCTCAATTTGGTCATTTTGCTCTTTAGCTCCCTTTTTTATTTAAGGATTCTTATCGTTGGAACCAATTGGTCTACCACGCTTCAGGCGTATTTGCGACTCGTTTGCAATATTAGATTGTCCAACAAGGACTGCGACTCTTATTGGAGCATTAGTCGCTAATACATATGACTTAGTCACCCTTTTTGGATCTATGAATACATTTGGTAATTGATTGGCTAGATTTTGCAAATGAATTATCTTTTGAACTTCTAGTTCACATTGTTTTGTACGAGGACCAAAATGAGATAATGATAATTCATTCTAACTAATATATTTTTCTAGCTATTTGTGTTCTCCCCCTAATGTTGGGAAAATCAACTCATTAAAAGAATGAGATGTGAATTCCCCAGCATTATCCAAACGAATTTTCTTAATTGGATAGTCAGGAAAATGAGCTCTTAATCTAATTAGTTGAGCAAATAATCTCACAAACGCCTGGTTGCGAATTGATAATAAACAAACATGTGACCATCTTGTTGATGTATCAATTAAAATCATAAAATATCTAAATGATCCACATGGGGTGTATTGATACACAAATATCACCTTGTATTCGTTCTAAAAATAAGATAGATTCATCCCCAATTTTTGCTGGTGATGATCTAATTATTAACTTCCATTGGGAACAAGCAGTACATGAAAAAATATTTGATTGAAGAATCTCCTGGCTCTTCAATAAATGTCCACATGAATTTTTAATTATTTTTCGCATCATGATAGTCTTAGGGTGACCCAACCGGTCATGCCAAACCTCAAATTTATTTTAATTGTAAACTTCTGGTTTACAATAGTATATGTTTCAATTGTATTAATATACATGCAATACAGTCCATAGGAAAAAGAAAATAATTTTTCCAATACTTCTTTTTTATTTAAGTGGAGTTTCGTGATATAAAGATATTATACATTTCCTTCATTGTTTGTTTCAATATGAAACTCATTTAAACGAATATCCTTGAAACTCAATAAGTTTCTATAAGACATAGAAAAATATAATGCATTTTTAATATACAACTTCGTTTCTTTCAGTAATAATATATTAGCTCTTCTAGAGCCTTCAATTATATTTGTAGTATCATATAACATTAATTTCTCGCATTATTGAATATGAGAAGACAAAAATTAATACATTAGAACATTCACTTCAGGGAATGAAATAATGCTAGTTAAAATGGTCTCTTGCATAAAAATTCTCAATATTTTGTTTTAGTCTTCAAGCGACAATACACCAACTAAAGATATTTCTTAATCTTTTTTTTTATAAAAAAAATTGCTACTTCTTGAGAAAAATAGATGTATGAAAAATATAATATATTTTTCAAATCGAGAAATCATTATAAAAATAACATTATTGTTATGTATCTTTAGACATCAATTAAATCAATAGGATTTGAAACCAAAACCTTTAAGATTCAATAACGTAAAACATAAGTTCAATTACATGACAAGT